GAATTTGCACCATCTAGCCTTTCAATACTTTGCTTTTTCTGCCAACTAAGGTTAATGGCTGTGATGGAAAAAGGAAAAAGCAATACTAACAATAAGAAGCAGCCTGTGGGGGAGCTGGGGCCCAGTAAGGATTCCAAAAAAAAAAAAAAAATTTTTTTTTTTTTTAATAATTAAAATGCTTTCCTTACCCCAAGGAATTTGCACATCATCTAGCCTTTCAATACTTTGCTTTTTCTGCCAACTAAGGTTAATGGCTGTGATGGAAAAAGGAAAAAGCAATACTAACAATAAGAAGCAGCCTGTGGGGGAGCTGGGGCCCAGTAAGGATTCCAAAAAAGCTGAAGGGTTTAACACAGTCTTCCCTCCTCACCACATCCCTCTCCCGCAGATGGGATCATTTGCACATCATCTAGCCTTTCAATACTTTGCTTTTTCTGCCAACTAAGGTTAATGGCTGTGATGGAAAAAGGAAAAAGCAATACTAACAATAAGAAGCAGCCTGTGGGGGAGCTGGGGCCCAGTAAGGATTCCAAAAAAGCTGAAGGGTTTAACACAGTCTTCCCTCCTCACCACATCCCTCTCCCGCAGATGGGATCACACCTGGCTCGCTTTATAGGGCACAGGTGTAGAGCAAAGTGAACACTTGTCGCAGGGGATTGCCAGAGCCCACAGTGCACTTAGTGACACCCTGCAGGCAGGGAAGGAGAAGGCGCAGCTGAGCAAGTGAGAGGGGGCTCCTGCACTCTCACCATGCGGCAGACACTGTGCCCGTCATGCTAAGCTGCCTCTGCCCAGGACAAGCCTACGAAGTACTGCAGGGGGCCCCACTTTACAGAAGAGACCAAAGCTCAAAAAAGGCTGGGTCACTTGTCCAGATTGATCCTGGCACTGACATCAAGGCCCTTTGCTCTTCTCCTTTACCAGCCCCCGACTCTTCTTCTCACCCAGCTCTCTGTAACATGCAGTGAAATGGAGTGTAAAGCATAAGCTCTTGAAAGGTTTGCACTTTGCCTATCTATACAACTCTTAAGTTTATAGATATATCTCCTTCCCCCACTCAATTTCAGGTTTTAAAAAAGCCTGTTCTCAGGTTCACCTCCATTTCTTTGACGTGATTATTCAGCAACAGACAGAATTCAGAATCAAATACACTCGTTTAAAAATGAAACATGTTGAAGATCTCGCACGAAGCCAGGCCTCTAAAGAAGCATGAAGAACCATTTTAAACTGAAAACTGAACCCAAGAGGGTTGAGTCGGGAAGTCACTAACACACTCAGACCCACCCAACAAACCTGCCCAGAGCTGAGTCACACCAAGGCCAGCAGCTCCAGTGTCAGTTAGGAGTTCATCCAAAAAATCAGAAAAGCTTCTAAGAAAAGGGACTGCTCCCCTATCACCACACAGGCACAGGCCTACAAAGCCTTTCCTCTCCCAGACATGTCACAGCAGCACCATTTCCTCGTCACCCCTCACAGACACTCTTTTGGGACAAAAAGAAACTAACTTCAACAGGAGGACTGGGTAGGGAGGAATTCAATTTGGCATTTCTATTTTTCGTGAGATGCCACAGAGGAGTATAAGGCAGCTGTTCTGAAGCTCGGTTTAGGTAGCAGGAAGCCACATGTGCTTTGCAGAGCAACACTTAAAGGTAGGTGCATCACGAAAGTAGGCTCCTCTTAATCCGTGGTTCTGGTTCCAGGGTGGCCTGAGGTGACTCAGACACGGAACTCAAAGAGTGACATTCACTTATCTGGAAGGCTCTCCCTAACTTCCAAGTAAACAATCATTCTGCAAACTAGTCACATTTGAGGGCATTTTCAATTCAGGAAGCTGGGAGAATATGAGAGGCTTAAGTTATTTCATAATCCAGTTTCATGAGATTTACTGTGCCCTGGCACAAATAAGTTACAGAGGGTAGACACGTAAAAATCAATTTCTTTGCAGACTGATAAAAGATCAAGCCAACCCAGCTATTAAAGTTTTAAACCTTTCTTAACAATGCAAGTTAGACAGTGCTGGACATCCTCCTAATGAAGAGCAGACAGAGAACTCGTAGGGCAGTCACATCATCTTGGGGTCTAACTCTGTTAAAAGCAGACCCCATTCTGTGGGGGCTCAATACTCACAGGCACAAGGCTGGCAGCTTGTTGCTGAGAGGCACAAAAAGACACATCAGGTGGGAGAGAGAGCAGCCTAGGAGTCATGATATGCCAACTGAAAGTGCACCCATTCAGTGAGTGGGTGCTGGGTGCCAGACCTTGTGCCAGGTGCTCATGACATCCTCACAGTAAGACACAAATCTCTTTAAGTGTACATAAAAGCTCTAGAAAAACACAACAAAGATGGAGTATGCTCCACAGGTAAGCTCCATTCTCAATAGATAACCTGAAGAAGCAAGGATGGGAATGTACAGACCTCACATAGACTTGCCTTCTACCCTCTCCTCAAGTCTGGCTCGGCGGCTCCCAAAGCAATTACTGCACAGGGAACTCACCAATACCACCAGGAATACACAGAGCTACACACACTGGAGGCAAACAAATCTATGAGATGGACTTTCAAGGGTGACTCTCTTAATGTGCAGTTTCTGCCACAAAGCACTGACTTTGAAATTTAACCTACATACTGGACATGAGTCCTGTGTTTTTTGGTGGCACTTTTATTTCAGGTTTGTCATATTGTCCACACTTCAGAGCATACTTTGCTCTTAGGAAATTCGGTCCCTACCTCATTGGCTCCAACTGAGCTGATCACGCAGCTCAGTTTCTGGTTGTCCTTTGACTCCAGATAGATGGCCTGGCTCTTGTGGTACCTGCAAAAACAGGAACAAAGGTACAAATATACTTAACACAGTCTTAATCACGTGTACGTGGGCAAGATTCGGGACTTCAGAGGCGTTAAGGCTTCCATCCTCAGATGAGATGACTTCTTAATCTTCTGGATCTGAACCTTACAATCCTTGGTCCCTTTGCAAAAGGAAAGCAGCAACTGAGAAAAAGACTTGAAAAACTATAATTTACTTTATATTTGGACTGCATGACCCAGTTTAAAAACTAAGTTAAAAATTTTAAAGTAAAACCTGTTTCCACTTTCTGCCCACACCGCCATAAAGGCAACTATGTAGACAAAACAAATAGGTGGGCTTGAACAATTGCTCTGTTACTTTCTTTCTATCCAAATAAGTCCTCCACAAGAAGGAAGGCTGAATTCAGCCCTTTCTTTAGTCATTCACTCAAAAATAATCAAGTACTTACTATGTATCACTGACTACCCCGGAGGGTGTGAAAGACTGAACAAGGCCAAAGGTCCCTGCTGTCACAGAGCTTCAAATATAATTGGGGAACATTTAATACTCACACCTAACAGATACTAATGACATGAAGACTTAACGTCATGGCATGTACCAAAGGGTCTCTGACCTGGCATGATCTGGCCTAGAGAAGTGGGGAAGCTGCTTTAAAGAAGAAACAAGACACGTTTCCCTTTCGGCCCCTGCATCACTTCTCTGGCTTGCAGTACACAACTACTTCCAACATAGAGAAGTTCATCCTTCCAAGGACAGAAGGGCAAAGCCGAAATGGGACACCAGGGTGAAAGAGTAGCTGCTGACTTCTTAGCCAGATACAAAATGGATTTGCCTCTGCTCAGTGCTTCACTGTCATGGGCAAGTCCTACTCCACCCACAGAGATTAAGACAAGTGACAAGGAAGAAACATAATTGAATCAAGTACAGTAACAGTTCATCTTTTCAGCTAAGAGAAGTCTGAGGACTTCACTAAGACTATTAGCGGATTCCCATAGTCCAGAGGAAAGCAAGCATTTACTCTTTATGTTCTACTATCTAAACATATGGCTTCCACTCTGTGGAAATACAAAGGGGGTCTGGAAAAGAAGGGAGGATGGGGTAGGGAGTAAAAAAGATTGTACCAATTCCCAAAGATGAATGTAATCATTATGTAATGCAAACATATACTAAAAAAAAAAAAAAAAAAAAAAGTGGCTTCTGGATTACAAGAATCAGAAATGTAACCTAAGCTGCTGCTGAAAGTCCTTGCCTGAGCCAGCCCCAGCTCAGTTGAGAACATAACCTTCGGTTGACCCTGCCTACAAAAACACAGCTACTCAGATTCATAAACTCATATAAAGTCTGCCAAAACACATCTCCCAGCAAAGTATTGCATCTTCTTCTCATTTCTCTGGAGGAAAGAGGCAGGTGCTGTTTCGCTGCTAAAATGAAATAATCTACTGCCCAGATACCACAGTTCAGGACGTTCTTCTCTCCCACAGTGAGCTTTCTCCAATCTACAGGCGAAGCACTCTTTAACCTGCTACTTAGGAGCTGAAAACACAGATTTTCCAAATCAATGTAGTTCCTGAAATGTGTTTTTAAAAAGTAAATGCAACAAGAACAGTGAGACTTGTTTACATCCAAGCTTTAAAATTGCCTTTCACTACATATTAGTTGGCAAACTGGGTCAGAGCACTGTCATTATGCTAAACAGGTAACATCACAAGGCCCAAATTTTATAATGCATAAAGGAAGGTCACATCAGTTCACACCAACATCCTAACACTAAGTTGTCTAAGCCAACTATACTACATAAATAGCAATGTCTTGAAAAATGTTTAGGATAAAAATACAAAGGAAAGAACACTCAGTTATTCTATGGGAACTGTGAGTTATTAAAGAGATAGAAACACAAAACAATGTCTATCTAGACTCAAGTCACTCTGATTCTACTTTCTAAATAATAATAAAGAAAGGTCGTGAGTGTGGTGTGAATGTACACTACCTCACAGAAATATGCTAATACACAGCTAAGTGGAGCAAAAAAACTACCATATTCCTGTGTTTCTAATAAAGCACATCTGACTGGTTTCACAGGACCACCAGGAGTAAAGGCTGCAGTCTGGTCTGTCTCTCACATGGGGTGCGGCCTACATATACACCATGGTCCCAGTCACCACGTGCTTCCCAAAGTGACCAACTTCCGAACCAACTGACCCCTGGGTTCCAAAGACCTTCAGGGGATTCTCACATACAAAATAATGATCTTCGGAACCACCATCCCCAGACTGACCTAGTTAATTATTTGAATTCTCTGAAAAGGTAAGTCCTCAGAAACTAGAGTGTTCAGATGGGTATTTTTTTTAAAGATGAAACGAAAAAGTATAAACAAACTTAACATATACTCTCATTTTTCAATTTTTAAAGAATATTAAAAGACGGAAAAAGAATTCAAAACACATTTAGAAATATTAAGTTTAAAAGCAACATCAATAGAGCCAATTTAGTTAAAATGTGTCATCTTTTTTTACAATTAAACCCATTTTACAAGCTACAACTCAACTGCTGAAAAAAATTATTTTTTTAAATAGCCTCAGAGAGTAAGTCCTAAATGTCAAATTGACTTTATTACTGATAAAAATTCTGACCGGGGAATCCCTACAATTAAGCTCTTAAAGCTCTGTGCCTCACTATTAAACCCAATGAACTACAATTACTATACTATTTTGGAAGAAAGCAATTTTTTAAAAAGGTAGCTCCAAAAGCAGGGTGGTAGGGAGGGGGGAGTAACTGAATGTTCTATCCTGCTGGGAATGCTAACATTCCATTTCCCCAAAACTGAGTCCATATTACAGCTATAGAACCTCACAAGTCTCAATTCTGACTGGAAATATTGTTTTAAGAGTCTTTGAGGGCTGGGATTTAGCTCAGTGGCACCATGTCTGCCTTGTAAGCGCAAGGTCCCAAGTTCAATCCCAGGTACCCCCCCCCCAAAGTCTTTGTATCACCGGGGACATAACTCAATGGTGTCACTGCCTGCCTCACAAGCACAAGGTCCTAAGTTCAATCCCTGGTACCAAAAAAAAAAAAAAAAAAAATCTTTGCATCAAGAGAGAGCTAGAGGGTTAACACTACTTGAGCAAATGGTGATGTCATTTCTTATTCCCTTTAGCAGAGGGAGGGGGAAGGGGGAAGAGGAAAGAGGGAGGGAGGGAGCGAGAAAGAATGAAAATCTGAATAATGCATTGGCACCATCAGTTACTTATTTTAAAGTATCAGCTATTTTCACAGTGTTTTCTGAGAAAGGTCATTAGTCCAAATCAAAATGTGAGGGAAACTTATAGCTTGATAGAAAATGTCTTAAAAGCATTAAAAGGGAAGATGCTTATCTTTCAAAATGAAATGTACTTGATAAGTGTTCACACCAAGATGGGAGGCCTGGATCACACTCATTTTGCTGAAATCATTTAAAACTCAATGAAACATATTTTTACCAAAAATACTGTTATAAAAATAAAAAATGCCAGGGATTTAGCTCAGCAGTTTGGTGGCCTGCCTTGCAAGCACAAGGACCTGAGTTCAATCCCCGGTACCAAAACAAAACAAAACAAAAAATACTGTTATAAGGAAAAATCCATGCTGTGGGAAGAACAAAGGGATTTGGCTTTAGCCACAGGCTGGGTCTGTTGAAAAAGAAAGAAAACTAAAGCCTCCAAACAGAGATACAAAGTCAGATCAAGGACCTGGTGAGGTTCACCCTGCTCTAGTGATAGCTTCAAGCAAGGTGCTCAGGAACCCATGAACTGTTACCAGGGAGGACAGGACTCACCTTTCAACACCTCGCTGCGAGCCCTGATTGCTAAAACTAGAAAAAAAAAAAAAGCTCATAGAGTACAGAAGAAAACAACACTCTCAAAATATATTTAACAACAGAATACACAACTTCAAATTCACCGGAAAAGCAAAATACTTCCAGAGATGTTGCTCTCCTAATGTCTTCTGCTAGCATCAGAAAGATGGTAAAAATTCCTTCTAACTGCTCAGGAGTTCTGACACACCACACCTGACCACTTAGTTTACTTTATGAAATACCCATCGTTGTGGAACCTTTCTTTTAAAAAAACAAGAATTTTATTTTACTGCATTTTTACCCACCAGACACATCTCATAAAGTCTAAAGATTAAGTCTAGAAAAAGGAAGATCTGAAGCAATGCAATTACAAAATGAACATCATTTGAAATATCACATGGCTTGAAGACTCACAGATCCATAAAAATGTTAGTGATAAATCTCATCATTTTCAAAGACTGTTCTTATATGTAGGCTTGATCTTTAAAGGTTATTTGGTTTTCATTATTAGAAACATTTTTCATCTTATTTTGCTCCATAGTGTTGAGCAGCTAGCGCCTGCCACCTAGTGGCAATATGTCCAAATTAGGAGCAATGCTAGGACAAATACTAATTGACCTCTGGAGAACACCAAACAGCCAGAACTAGGGGGCAGAAATCACTAGATCAGGCTTATGGACAAAGCAAGTCTCCTTCACCCATCTGGATAACTAACTCACTATAACTTAGTAAGTAGAAATGACTTATTTTCAGGCAAGACTAGCTCTCTACGCTTTTTTGTTTGCTTGGGTTTTTTTGAGAACAGGGTTTCGCTGTATAGTTCAGGCTTATTATGAACTCACTATGTAGCCCAAGCTAGCCTCCAATAATCCTCCTGTCTCAGCCTTCTAAATGCTGGGATTACAGATGTGCGCCACAACAACCAGCTTCTCTAAGCATTTTTTAAAAGAATAGTCAGCCTTCTGGATTCATAAGTTCACATCTATGGATTTAGCCAACTGTGGATAAAAAATATTGGAGAAAAAATTGTGTCTGTGCTGAACATGAGCTTACTTTCTTGTAACAATACAGTTATAACAACTATTTACATTGTATTCAATATTTACATAAACTAGAAGTGATTTAAAATATATAGGAGGAAGCCAGTCATGATGGCATACACCTGTAATCCCAGCACTTGGGAAGCTGAGGCAGGAGGATCACAGTAAGTTTGAGGCCAGTCTGGGCTACATAGTGGCTTCAGGACCAGCATGAACTACACAGTGGGAACCTATCTCAAAAAAAAAAAAATTATACACACAGAGTCTGCTAAAACAATGTATACATCAGGAAAACAAAACTTGTATAGATATTTTAATACTAAATTTGTTGACACATCATGAGATTAATACAAGTTACCTTTGGCCTCTACCATTAGAAGAGGTGCTCAGAATGATAGCCATTCGCTTCCAGACATTTATTAGTACAGCAAACTGTTGAAGTGTGTATATACTTTTTTGGCAGACTGTACATACAGGAGGGTACCTTAGGTTATATGCAAATATGATGCCATTTTATACACAGGATGAGAGCACCTGCAGACTTGGGTGTCTGTGTGTGGTCCTGAAGCCAGTCTCGCCTGTATAGTGGGATGACTGTACAATCTTACAAGGTAGCCAACTAACATAATGCTCCAAAAAGGCGCCCATCCTTATAAAAGTATTGAGACTCCAAGGGTTATTATATAGCCATTAAAAATGCTAATTAGAGACCAATACAGTAACCATGAAAAACGTTCTCAATTTAACCAAGCAAAAAGGCAAACCATAAATCTGTGTCCATCTATGACTTGAAAAAAGTAAGGGCAGGCGCCGACCCCCCCCCGCCACTCCAGGCGCAGGATGCCCAGGCCACTGCAAGGGGCAAGAAAATCAGGTTGAATCCCCACTAGAGCCACTGTCCCTGAAGAAATGAGTGGTGGCTTGGCTCCAAGTAAGAGCAGAGTGTATGTGTCCAACTTGCCCTTCTGCCTTACAAATAACAATTTATACTGGATATTTTCCAAGTATGGCAAAGTTGTAAAGGTTACTGTAACAAAAGACAAAGATACAAGGAAGAGTAAAGGGGTTGCATTTATATTATTTTTGGATAAAGACTATGCTCAAAACTGCACCAGAGCTATAAACAGTGAACAGTTGCTTGGTAGAGGGATGAAGGCAAGCATTGCTAGTGACAGTGGGAGAGCTGCTGAATTAATCCAAATGCGAAACTACTTTGACAAATCACTGGGTTACAAATGTGGGGAAAACAGGCAACTTAAATGCTTGTCCAAAAAATATGCTTGGAGATGGTGAGCCTCAACAGAAGAAAGAAAAAAAGAAGAAAAAGAAAATTGCTGAACTAGAAGAAATTGAGGACATAGCATAAAGTGAAGACGAAGGGGAAGACACTGCTCTCGAGTCTCAGCCAAGCCACCGTGTCCCAGCGAGCCAAGACTGAAGAACAGAGCAAACGGAAACCCAGGGGCAGGGGACCCCAGCAACGTGAGAGGAAGAACACATTTCATTGCAGAGGAAGAATTTAATGATTAGAATTGTATAATGTAGATGTCAGGAAAATAAAAACCATCTGCAATACAAAAAAAAAAAAAAAAAAAAA